GTAGCAGTGGCAGTAGCAGCAGTAGTTGTAGCAGTAGTAGTAGTAGTAGTAGTAGTAGTAGTCATGATAATCATGACGATGCTTATCTCAGCTAGTATTGCCATCGCATTGCGCGCTTGCCTCAGCAAAGGGGCACTGTTGCTATGACTCATATCGTGCTGGAGGAAGACGACGTCAGCGCCAAACGATTAACGGGGGTCATCTTACGTGACACCGGGTTCTGTATTTAGTTGACGTGTCGGCAGCATACGTATGTTGGAACAGAAAGCATAGCGCTGTACTTCACTGAGCTTATTGCAGGGCGGCATCAGAACTCCCTGTCTGTGTCCGTGCTGGCTCCGTCATCCCTTCTCAAGCAGCAGTAAGGCTCAGCAAACATCCGATGTGCCTCGCCCTGCATTCGAAGCAATTGCTGGAATGCAAGCCCGCAGGCCTCCCGTGAACAATCCTAGAACGGAGCTCCAGCTCGGCTGTTGGGGGTTGCCAGATTCGGGCTTGTAGGAGCTGAAAATGAAGTGTTCAGGCACTCTGCCCTGGCATGCACTCTCATGGCAAAGACGAAACAGCTTCGAATCTGTAGCTTTTTCATGGAAGGCACAAGCCTTATGACCACAACTAAGAAGTCCTGAGAGAACGCAACTCCGAATGCTTGATTGCGTAGCGCAGACCTGTTTCAACACAAGCCCATGAAGATCTACTAAGGCAGCTTTATCCAAAGGAGCAGTCGCCTCACAAGCTTTCGTCAATTCGGTCAAAGGTACGAATAAACGTCGATGCACAGTCAAACTGGTCATGTGCCCTGGAAAGAAGATTCAATCGCAACATACCGTCTCCAAACACGCCCACTTGTCTCGTCTGCCGGAAGCTCTGAATCCCGACTTGCTGTTCAAACCCGTTCGTACCAGCCACCATTCCAACCATGCCGAACCTTAAGTCCACCGGCATGTGTCTACCTATACATACATGTCCGTGTCCAGATGCCTGCAGTGAGATGCTAAGCTTGTACGAGCCCAAACCCGAGCCTGATCAGGGATCTCAGGGGCCGGGGCTCCTGGCGGGCAAGCTCGGGAGGGTCGCACAGAATCAGAAAAATCCTTTGGAAGTCCTTACCATTTGCTGGGATACATTCGTACATGGACCACCTGGAACTACGGCAGAAGGATGCCTTATTAAGGGAGTTTGTGGTGTGTCTCCTTCTGAACACGTGCCTGAAGCACGGCAATTCAGAAACAAAATTTCGGCATTACCGGTTGCAAGAGTGAGTTTGAAATTCGGGCCCAAGTATCAACTGAACAATCGCTCTGCCGGAAACGATGACGGTGCATCACATTGTGAGTCTGACGTTTGCACACCCGACTGCCCGGGTTAAGAATGCGTCAACCAGACCCCTGCCACAGCGCGTCAGCACTTTTCTGCTCACAACGTGGCTCACAGTGCAACGACGAGTAGGCACAGGTTCTAGGCTTCTGGATGCGAAGCTTGCTGGATGTGCCACACATGCAAACATGTGCGGCCAAGCAGCAAACTTTCTTGATAAAGGAGGACGCAACAAGTTATTGTCGTGAAAGACTACTCGGTCCTTTTGTCACGATCCACGTCGCCTGAATCTGAGAGAAAGTACATGATTGCTTGAGTCGCTCCTGCAAGCAATGATCTGTAAACACAAGCGGGTGTAGCCGACCAGACAGCACGCGTCGGTCCCTTTAGTTGAACACACTTCTCATCAACCTCTGCCTCTTAGCCGTGAATGGAGCCTGCTGTCAACAGCTCGAGCGCGCAAAACACCGTAAATGCATCCCAACTACTTCTCCAGTCAGTTGCTGTATGCTTAAGCCCCCATGTCCATAGCACCGAATGTGTAGATCAATCCTGATTCGGTCACATGATACCGGGTATGTCTATATATGTATGCATGTAGGGCGTGCGTGAGCATTTAGCCAAGGCTTACTACTGGCTCACTGTGGGCGTCGGTTGGAGTCCTACACCCGAAGGATGCGTAAGACAAATTTGGAACCCTCCCCCCCCCCCCGAAACCACGCAAATAAATTCTTTAATCGTGTAAAGTCTGAAGCTGAATTCAAATGCCTTTCCCGGAACCCCATGCTCCAACCCACTCCGCGCGTCGCTGGGCTCATCCCTCCAGTCTGCTTCCCGCGAAGCCCCGCTTCAGGTGCTCAGTCCTGAGCAGTCATGTTTCGGACGGAACGGACCAGGGTACACTTATTACAGCCTGACTGCGAAGCGTTGTTTAGAGATCTGTTGAATTGACCCGGATGCCGGACGGATAGGAAAGAGTACCTAATATCAGGCTCCTGCCGCCATGATTGAAGAAGCTGTGGCAGCTATGCGGGAACAGCAAAAGCCAGCGACATCGCGGAATCGACACATTCTCCTTCTGTTGTATTCTTCATATATGTGGAGGCACATGCAAATGCTCACCCGGAAAGCGCTCGAAACAGAAAGCCTTCCCGTCCAAAAGCATTCTGCACCGGCAGAGCCAAGGGAGAACCTTGCGAAACGAACCAAGGGTCGACCTTCTTCGGGGCGGCAGGGACCTCCTCGGAGGAGGAGCTCCCACCAAAGAGAGCACCTTCAGAGCTTCAGTGTCCAAGTCTGTGTAGGTTTAGGGTTTAGGGTTTAGGGTTTAGGCTTTCCATCGGTGGAAGGGAGAGGGGTTCAAGGCTGAGGCTCAGATTTGCTGGCAGCTATGTAGCTACTTTGTTCACCGAGCTTTTCGAGTACCTCACATCCTGCACGGATCGCCCAACGCCGCGAGACCCCACGGACAACGTGCAACATTACGAGCTCTCCCTGAGCCTCGAGAATAATTGCTTTGGGGCTCAAGGTGCCATGGTCTGAGGTTGATGGTTCATATATATATATACATATATGAACCATATGTGTATATATATATATATATATATTTTTTCACATTGTGTCGTGGCACATTTTCTTTCGGGGCAAGACTCTGCTGGAGCGGGTCATTTTCGATTGGCAGGGCTGCAACACACAGAATTTCTGGTACTTCTCTTTCAAAGCCATGTCCAGGAATGCTTGTTTGTTCCGAAGGTGGGACAACAAAGTGGGCTGGAGTTAACCTTCGATGTGGATTGGAACTGGGCACTGATGAATTGTGCTTCTGGCTTGCACTCGGGGAAGTCCATTATTTGGTCTTCTAGAATCGCTCGAACCTGCAACTCTTAAACACTGCCGAGCCCCAAGTAGGTCAGTCAAGGCACTCATGCCCTGCGACACAGCCTGCAGCGACAGAAGATTTTCGGTGTATGGTGTATGTGAGTTGTCTGGGATTTCACTTGTGGATCTGGTCATCCGCCCTCATCTAGTTGATTATGTCTGCATCGCTTTACCAGATCATATACACTGCGTGACGTTTCGCTGCAAGTAGTAGGGCGCTTGCTACTGGACGGAGGACTCGCGGTTTTGGCGAAAACCCACATTGCTGAAACCGGCGCACAGGCGAGACCTGGTCCTTGTCCGACCAGCTCACGCACAGCAGCGCTTCGGCACGGAGTGCCCCAGTCCAGCCAAATGGAGCCCAAACCTCACACCTCAACAATCCTCCCTGCTTACCCACCTCGTCGAAGGACTCCAGAGCAGCGGACACTTGGCTGGCAGCGCTCTCCACGAAGCTTCCCTCCTCCGACTCCTGGCAAAGGTGCAAGAACATATGCGCCTTGTGCATCTCAATTTGCACTAGCCTGGCGGTTTGCTGCAGTGCTTGTTTCGCCGCATATCTTGCTATACTTGTAGCTGAAGCTGCTGTTGACGTTGATCGCATCCTTGAATCGGTAGCGTTGTCCTGATCATTGCCGGTGCTAGTCCGCGGAGGTCAATTCACAATCTCATACCCCGAAGGGTGTCGGAGACCTCTCAGCTCATACACTTTTTTGATTTGCTTTTGAGCCTTGTTTATCGGTTGACGTGTATTCTAGAGTCACCATCTGCTTACGTTTCTGCGGTCGATGGTCATACAGCTTCCTAGCTAGCTGTTCTGGGGCCAAGCAGCCGCCAGAAACATGCTGTCATGCTCGGAAGTCTTCTTCAGCAGCCCGCAAGAATGGCCATATTCGAGGTGACAATGACAAAATCTTAACTGTGCTACAGGCCACTGCGCGCTCGACAACTGTTTCTGCATGGCTGGTCCTCGTTAATCACCAAACTCCGGTCTCCATTGGCAGCTTTCCTCGGCCCGTACACGGGAAGTCATGATCAACTACAGGGCATGTAGATGTACATGCATGGTTACCGATATATGTACACATGTACACAACGTAATACACATGTATAAGCAGAAACGATATAGATACAGATATGAATATAGATATAGGTAGAGATATAGACAGATATAGACATAGGCATTCCCATATTGTATGTAGGCATGTGTATGTATATATGTGTATGTCTGCATGTACGTGTATGTGTACATGTGTGTGTGTGCGTGCATAAACAAGTGCAGGCATATGTGCAAAAGCAAAGTCGAAAAGTAAGCACCATTGCATCTATGTCACTGCATGCCTGTGCCGGTTCGTGAAAGCATGTGTGTATGCATGCAACCACACTTACCGAAACATACGCACGTATATGTACGTATATATACACCTATCTACATATGTATACCCCTCCATGCATCCATCCATCGATCCATGCCTGTGTAAAACACATACATGCGTATGTACATTCATACATGCATCCATACAAACATGCGTACGTAAGTACATGCATATATGTGTGCATACCTACATACCTACATGCCCATGCCTGGTGACCTGCATATGCACATACATTCCTTCATACATGCATGCACAGTTGAGACTTACACATCTAGGTGAGATGACTCAGAAACTCACTGGCATGGAAGGGCCAGAAGCATACGGTATGTATAGATACGTATACACATCATCATACATCCATATATCCATGCATCCATACATACGAGTACATACGTCCATGCATGCATGCGCTGTATTTGTATTACACATGTGTGGTCGTGTACGATAAACATAGATTGCGAGACAGGCACGATGTCCACGAGAGTCTTGTTGAAAATCTTGAGACAACTTCGGCAAGAGGTATGTATTATCTAGCCATCGGGAAAGAGGGGACGTGGCGGGGCAATGCGGGGTATGATCGCTGACATCAAAGGTCGTTCCTGTCAAATTGAAACCCGACAAGGGCAGCGCCCTTTTGCATGTATCGGTCTATGTCCGAGCAGCAGCTCCTGCTGCAATCCTGCTGCGGAGATGATCGTGATCAAGTCCAACATGGCGAAGTGAGCCGAGCCTTGCAAGTTAGTGGCGCGATGCGTGTTTGTTCCTGCAATTTCAGACAGTAAGGTTTCGGGGGATTCTGTGACTGGGAACTGCCCTGTGCAGGGGCTTTCACCAACATCCCACCGTTCAAAGTTCAAAGCAGGCAATCCTTAGCAAACTCACATGCATCCAAGCTGCTCAGAGATGCTTGGATATGCAGACTTGGAAAGCTGAAGGCCTCTTTGCAGACTGCGCTCTGAGCCCAAATCGAGCAGACAGCAGGGCAAATGCCTGGACTCTGGGGCAAGCGTTTTTCAGGTAGAAGGCGTGTAATGTCTGGGTGATGCTGCCACAAAGGAAAACAGGGCAAACGCCCGCTGAAGGTTCCATCTCGTTTCTGAACCCGGCATTCCTGTAGTGAGCCTGCGTCGGAGCAACAACATCAAGTTTGTCTGAGTGGTCCACCAGCCTGCTACAAGCACGGGAAAGATAGCCCGCGAGGCTGTCATGGAAAGCCATCGCATGACTTTTTTCGCTCTGCAACAAGTGGCTCTCAGTCCAAGCTCGGGTGTGTTGGGGCGTGTGGATTTAAGGGAGCTCGCACGTGTCATAATTCTGACGAAGTATGATCATCCACAGGTCTCCTGGATCCATCCACAGCACCTCAACCTGAAGGAAATGCGCTTTGTTGCTTGAGTCGCTCCTGCAAGCAATCTTCTGTAATTACAAGCGGGACGCTGACCAGACCATCCTCCCTGGACTTCGGTAGCAAGACACTGCAACAAATACCAAGTTGAAAATCCTAGCACAGAAATGCACCGTGCGCCGTGTACCTACATGTACACATGTATACAATATACGTTTGTAGCTGCTTATTAATCCATGCCATGCTCTTGTCTGCCAGGCTGCGAAAAGGGTACGATGCATATGCCATCCGCCACAACTCCAATGTGTTAACGGTATCCTTCAGAAACCCCTCACCTGCAAAAAAAAACCATCAGCATTCTTAAAGACTCCTGAGACCATACGCGTCTGGTCTGCTTCCAACGCGGTGCCCGTGTCAGACGCTCAGTCCTCGGCTGTGAGGCTTGAAATGCTGCGGCCGAGCCAGGGTTGCTCAGGGCAAACAAACTCAAGGAGCATACATGTGTGCATGCATGCATAGGTTGTGTAAGTCACAGAATATAGCAGGCACAACATCTCATTATGCGACTGAGAAAAGACCAAAAAAACGTTTAAAGAACTTCGAGAAGCTTTCCCTTGATACACTGATTCTTTCGTTCTGCAGGCCACCAAAACTTTGAGTACAGAATTTGGTAGTCTTAGTTTGTTCATGAGTGAGGGCATGTGCATACTCTCACAATCTGGGATCTAAGATGCTACTCGAGAGAAGATGCACAACAAAGCTATCGCAGTATTGCTATGACCCCAAGGGTTCCGCCATCGTTATTAACATGTACACTATACCACGATAGCGTTTTCTACGTGGTATCTTGGCATCAGACTCGGGGCTCGATTTAGCAAGAGATGCCAAGGCTGCCTTTGCTGCACGATAATCTGTGTGGCTGCATGTTGTTTGATATTGAGAGCAAGCAAAGCAAGAGCAATTTGAAAACGGCCCTACAGCTGTATCCAGTGCTTCAGACTGCTCAAGCCTTGAGTGGTAACATGAGGTAACTGTTGACACGCGTTGGCTCCGGCTGTAGGCGTGCTCAGAACAGTGTGGTGATTGGATTCCTGCTGAAACCATGCCTGCCTCACGAATTGAGCGTTCAGGAGTGATCTTAAGTTTAAGATTTAGTCGTGTTGAATGGGGGGCTTGAGTTTTTGCTGGAAAGTGGGCTTTTGAAGCAAACAGGCAAAGTGAAAGTCAACCACGGTGACATGGAACCCACTCAGGAGCACAGGCTGTAGCAGAGGTAGGCCAAGCAGGAGTTGGGAATACGTAGCAGTAGTATGAGCAGTAGTGTGGGTAGTAATTGTAGCCGCAGTAGTACGGTAGTGGAAGCAGCAACAGCAGCAGCAGCTACAGTTGCTGCCGACATCGATAACCGACCGGTCCGGTCGAGGACATGATCCTTTGACCTGTTTGGAATGGCCATTCAACCACATGGGCAGGGCAACTATCGCACCTCTGCAGATTCGGGAGATGTCGGTTCCCAACTAACTAACGCGCTAAACCCTAAACCCTAAACCGTGGCTCTGTCTCTCTGTCTGTGTCTCTCGCCAAGCATCCACCTTCTTCGGGGCCACAGGGGCCTCGTCGGAAGAGGAGCTACTGCCGAAGAGGGCACCTTGGAAAGCTCTGGCTTGGCCGCGGACAACGGACAACCTTCAACTTCGCTGCCACCGCATCAAAAGCCAAAGCTGAACCTTTGGAACAAAGGCGCTCATCCCCTGCGACACTGCCTGCATGGACAAGCAACGAATGCTTTGGGCCTTCAAGATTCCTTGTGATGCCTTCAGTCCAGTCATGTTCTGAGGTTGCCAGGCCGTGTTTGGAGGTGTGATGCTTGTGGCCTCCAGGGACCTCTAAACAGGAAGCAACCGGGGCACAAACAGTGTGATTCCAGTGATGCAGTCCGAGCGAGCATCCGCAAAGGCAGACTGCTAGGTTGAAGTAACGACTTGTGCTTGCATAACAGAAGTCATGCAGCGCCCTTTCTGCACAGACCGCGGATCTCGCTGCCTCATCGAAGGACTCCAGAGCAGCAGACACATGGCTAGCGGCGCTCTCCACGAAGCTTCCCTCCTCGGACTCCTGCGATTCGGAACATCTGTGTTGCAAAATGCCTGGGAAAGGCCGCTTGCTCATAACCATGAACGGTCGCAACTAGCGAAAGACAGCACGAGGACAGCACAGCTTCAGTTCAGACGTCCTCATGAATCACCAGGCTCTTGTCTCCGTTCGCAGACTTCCTTGGTGCAGCCACATCCCTCAGGTGCTAGCGTCCCTCGTGTTTGCAGCTTCGGTTCGAGGTACTTGTGACTTGCGCAGCGCGCCGTGCGACCATCTTCCCCACCCCAAACAAACCCCTCAAATCGCATTCAAGCTTCAGCTCCTGCTGCAATCCCGCCGCGGAGATGATCGTGATCAGGTCCAACATGGCGATTCAAGCACGGGGCCTCGGAGCTGGTAAATATCTGTTCCGCGCAACGAAGTCACCAAAAACGGGGACGCTACTTCGACCTTCGACACGTGGCCGAAGAATTTCGAGGAAGAGGCCAATCATAACGAAAGTCATTCAGAGCCGTCCCGATGTCGCAGCAGAAAGGGAGGCAGGAAGGGAGGGAGGATCCCAAAGCTGGCCGCTGACACTTGAGGAATCACAGTCCTGACCAGTCCCTCCAAATCTCCAAAGGCGATACCACAGCCTCCGATTTGTGGAAATCTCGTTGAGTGGCCCTGAGCGGCTTGATGCTGCTGAGGTGCTGTGGGTTTGCTCACACTCAAAGGCTGAATGCCTCTTTGCAGATTGCGCTTTGAGCCAAATTGCAGAAGGATGTTGTTCAGCTGACGAACCAGGAAAGTAAAAGGAACAACTTCGTGGTGCGTTGTTGCAGCGGCTTTCAACAGCAATGCACCTACCTCTACGCTAGCGGACTTGCTCAGAAATGTCGGAAGTTCACTGGAATCTTGATTGAGATGCTATTGGACAGACGGTCGCTCCTCCAGGCAGTTGCTCCATCTCCTCGCGAACACAACAATTCTGGTGCTGGAGAGGTGGAGGGTCCAAACTCGAAGTGTGTAGGTTCGGACGTCCGGATAACTGATTTGTCTTGCGCAGGCATGAAGAAGACTCCATGAGTCTGGAGCATGCATGTATTAAATCGGCAACGCTTCAACTTATTCCGACCACTTCAACCCGCCAGCCGCTCTTCCTCGTGCTTCTGCTGCTGCTGCCGCTGCAACTGCTGCGACGACGACGACTACTCCTACCACCTCTACCATTACCATTACCATCTTCACTAGCACTACCACTACCATTACTACTACTACTACTACTACTACTAATACGACTACTACTACTACTACTACTACTACCACCACCTCGACCTCCTACCACTACTCTACCACCACTACCCCCACCACCACTACTACTACTACTACTACTACTACTTCTTCCTTCTTCTTCTTCTAGTACTACTACTACTACTTCTTCT